CTCTGTCCTTTTTATAGCTCCTGTCCGCAGACCTCTGGACTAGGTCTCTGTTGACTGGCTGTGTGACCTTAGGCAGGGAGCTGCCCCTCTCTGGGCCTCAGAGGCCTTAGGAGGGTCCTCTACTTCAGGAACACCCCCGTGACATTGCATTTCGGGGCTTCCCGTGGCTTGTGGAATAGCCTGTAGCCTGTTGGATTTGTTAAGATTCAAGACAGATGGGCAGATGTGGCAGTGATGTCTCTGAGTCCTGGCCCAAAGACGCAAGGAACCAAATTGATGTCCCTCCCACCTTCCCATCGCCTCAAGCCCTGGCCCCCTGAGTTTCCTTTCTGTCTCTCTCTCTCTCTCTCTCTTTCTCTCTCTCTCCTCTCTCTTTTTTGAGACAGTCTCACTCTATTACCCAGGGTGGAGGGCAGTGGTGTGATCTCGGCTCAACATAACTTCTGTTTCCCAGGCTTAAGCGATTCTTCTGCCTCAGCCTCCCGAGTAGCTGGGATTACAGGTGTGCACCACCACACCCAGCTAATTTTTGTAGTTTTAGCAGAAACAAGGTTTACCGTGAAGGCTAGGCTGATCTCGAGCTCTGACCTCAAGTGATCCTCCTGCCTCAGCCTCGCAAAATGTTGGAATCACAGGCATGATCCACTGTGCCTGGGTTTTTGTTTTTCTAAATTTATTATTATTATTATTATTATTGAGGCAGAGTTTCACTCTTGTCGCCCAGGCTGGACTGCAATGGCGCCATCTCGGCTCACGGCAACCTCTGCCTCCCTGGTTCAAGCAGTTCTCCTGCCTCAGCCTCCTGAGTAGCTGGAATTACAGGCATACGACACCACGCCCAGCTAATTTTGTTTTTTTTAGTAGAGACAGGGGTTTCTCCATGTTGGTCAGGCTGGTCTTGAACTCCCAACCTCAGATGATCTGCCCACCTCAGCCTCCCAAAGTGCTGGGATTACAGGCATGAGCCACCATGCCTGGCCTATTACTATTTTTTTTTTTTTAAGAGACAGGATCTTGCTCTGTTGGCCAGGCTGGTCTCCAACTCCTGGGCTACAGTAATCCTCCTGCCTCAGCTGGGACTACAGGCACCCAGTTTTGAGTCTTATTTCCAATGGGGACATTAGTGTGGCTTTAAATATCTGATCTGACTTCTGTTCCCCCTTGTCTGTTTCTCTGGATGAGAGCAGTTGCCCTGGCTGGAACTCTGCCTTTTGCGGGGAGCCCGTGTGTCTGTCTGGGATTCTGTAAGGAAGCAGGAGAGGCTGGAGTCTCAGTCCACCCTCACAGTACCTGACTGTCCCAGGGCTTCAGTTTTCTCATCTGTCTGATGGGACCCCTTCTGTCCTCACCCTATAAGGGCCACAAAGGGATGACACAGAACCTGGCAGGAACTTTTCAGGCAATCAGGGGAAGGAAAGACGTTTCTGGCAGAGGGAACAGCATGCCAAGCACGAGAAGGCTGAGTAAGGGGTTAAGAACCCAGGTATTGAAGCCTAGGGTTTTGCACTTCTGCGCTGTGTGACGGTGGGCAAGTTCCTTTCCCTCTCTGGGTCTCAGTTCTGTCCCCTGCAAAATGGGCAGGGCTTACCCCTTGGCTGGGCAGGGTCAACTTTCTGACTGGTGACAGGGATTCTCATGCAGGTGAAGCGCCTCCTCACCAATCGGTAAAGCTTTTCTGCCCCTTTTGCCGCCTTAGAAACCTTTTATCCATCTTGTAGAACCCTGGCAGCCTTCCCTCACATACCCCCACCACTATTCCAGCCCTGTCCTTCCCTCCAGGCCCACTCTGACCCTGGGGCTGGGGAAGTGTCTGTGTCCAGCTGCCTTTCCTGACCTCGGGGTTACTTGGGGGCCGGGCCAAGGCCTCGGCACAGAGGGGACTCTGGGAGTGTTTGTTGACTGAATAAAGAAATTCAGTGGAAAAGATGGTTTGTGCTCGACTTGGGGCAGTGGGGAACCTCAGAGGGTGTGTGAGCTGGGAGGGATGTGGTTAGGGCTGTGGGCCAGAGACCTTTCAAGGGGCCACTGTGGGGGCCTCAGGGTAGGCTGGTGGAGGAGGACCCGTGGGTGAGGCTTGGCTGGGACCCTCAAGGACAGAGCCCCTCACTCCTAGCCTTAACTGCTGGCCTTGGCTGCAGCCTGGGGGAGATTACAGGCTCTCTGTGGGTGGGGAAGGAACAGGCTGTTCTCTGGGTGGTCAGAGTACAAGGCCAGGCTTGGGGAGGCATGGCGGTGGGGCGGGGACCAACATCACTGGGACCAGGCCACCCCCAGCTGTGTGCACCTCATAACTGCTAGAAAGATGTGGAGAATGGCCGGGCGCAGTGGCTCACGCCTGTAATCCCAGCACTTTGGGAGGCCAAGGCAGGAGGATCACTTGAGGTCGGGAGTCCGAGACCAGCCTGGCCAACATGGCCAAACCCTGTCTCTACTAAAAGCACAAAAATTCGCTTGGCGTGCTGGCGTATGCCTGTAATGCCGGCTACTCGGGAGGCTGAGGCAGGAGAATTGTTAAAACTGGGAGGCGGAGGTTGCAATGAGTCCTGATCACACCTGTGCACTTCAGCCTGGGCGACAGAGCAAGACTCCACTTCAGAAAAAAAAAAAAAAAAAGAAAGACGTGAAGAGAGATACCCAGAGAGCAGCCTAACGTGGTAGAAAGAGGGAGGCACCTGCTGGGGGGTCAAGCAAGACCCGAATTCCAGCCCAGGCTCTCTCCCGCCTCAGGTCAAGCATCCTTCCCTCTCTCAGCCTCAGTTTCACTCCTTGGTAAAATAAAGCCATGAGATCCCCGAGGCACAAAGCCGGGGCCAAGCAGACACTGAACTAACAAAGCTTGATCTGTTCTGGGTCCCCCTCAGCCCCCGCTCACCCAGAAGGGACCGCCATGCTGGGGAGGCAGAGCTTCCAACGGGACACCCCCAGCCCTGTGTGTCAGGCGTCTTGAGAAGATCTGGCTCTTCCTGGTCTCCTGTGATTTTGGGCAAGTCTGGGGTCCTCTCTTTGTGACTCAGTTTTCGTTTTCTTTTTTTTTCTTTTTTTTTTTTTGTTTTTGTTTTGAGATGGAGTCTCACTCTGTTCCCCCTGGCTGGAGTGCAGTGGCGTGATCTTGGCTTACTGCAATCTCTGCTCCTGGGTTCAAGTGATTCTCCTGCCTCAGCTTCCCGAGTAGCTGGGATTACAGGCATGCGCCACCACACCCAGCTAATTTTTGTATTTAGTAGAGACGGGGTTTCATCATATTGGGCAAGCTGGTCTCGAACTCCCGACCTCAAGTGATCTGCCTGCCCCAGCCTCCCAAAGCTCCTGGATTTCCAGGCATGAGCCACTGAGCCTGGCCTCTGTGCCTGTTTTCTTATTCGTGCAGTAAAAAAAGAAACAACAAAAAAACAAAAAAACAAAATTCTTGGTCTTGGAAGATGCCCGCTGTCTTCCCTCCTGCCCCCCAGAAAATGCAGGATTATTATTTTTCAGTTGACTATTTTACTTCCTCAAAATGGTGAAGACAATAGCAAAGACTTGGCTGTGTATGATGGCTCACATCTGTAATCCCAGCATTTTGGAAGGCTGAGGAGGGAGGGCCACTTGAGTTCTAGATGAGCCTGGGCAACATAGCAAGACTCCCATCTCTACAATTAAAATTTTTAAATGGCTGGGTGTGGTGGCTCATGCCTATAATCCCGGCACTGTGGGAGGCTAAGGCAGGCGGATCGCTTGAGGTCAGGAGTTGGAGACCAGCCTGGCCAACATGGCAAAACCCAGCCTCTACTAAAAAAAAAAAAATAATAATACAAAAATATTAGCTGGGCAGGGTGGCATGCACCTGTAATCCCTGCTACTCAGGAGGCTGAGTCTGGAGACTCGCTTGAACCCGGGAGTCTGAAGTTGCAGTGAGCTCAGATGGAGTCACTGCACTCTAGCCTGGGCGACAGAGAGAAACTCTGGCTCAAAAATAAAATAAAATAGGCCGGGCGCGGTGGCTCAAGCCTGTAATCCTAGCACTTTGGGAGGCCGAGGCGGGTGGATCATGAAGTCAAGAGATCTAGACCATCCTGGTCAACATGGTGAAACCCCGTCTCTACTAAAAATACAAAACATTAGCTGGTGTTCTGTATTTTTAGTTACAAAATACAAATTACAAATTACAAATTACAAATACAAATTACAGGCACGCATGGTGGCGCGTGCCTGTAATCCCAGCTACTCAGGAGGCTGAGGTAGGAGAATTCCCTGAACCCAGGAGGCGGAGGTTGCGGTGAGCCGATAATGCGCCATTGCACTCCAGCCTGGGTAACAAGAGCGAAACTCCGTCTCAAATAAATAAATAAATAAATAATAAAATAAAATAAAATAAACAAAAGAATATATTAAAAAGTTAAAAAGAGCCGGGCAAGGTCATGCCTGTAGTCCCAGTTACTTGGGAGGCTGAGGCTGGAGGATCGCTTGAGCCCGGGAGTTCTGGGCTGTAGTGCTATGCTGATCGGGTGTCCGCACTAAGTTTGTAAACAATATGGTCACCTCCCGGGAGCGGGGAACCACCTGGTTGCCTAAGGAGGGGTGAACCAGCCCAGGTCGGAAGTGCAGCAGGTCAAAACTCCCATGCTGATCAGTAGTGGCATCGCGCCTGTGAATAGCCACTGCACTCCAGCCTGGGCAACATTGAGACTCCCTCTCTTTAAAACACAAAATAAATTAAAAAAAAAAAAAAAAAAAAAAAAAAAAAAAAAGATTCAGGTATAACCTTAAGACTGACCATGAAAAAAACAATAAAAGAAAATAAGAAAAAAATAAAAAAGAAAGACTCCTTGCCCAGTGCTCCCTCTGCGGGAGGTACATCCAAGGCCCTGGCCCTGGGAGAAAGGCCCCGGGACGACCCCACCCTTGACCTTCTTCCTGGGCGGTCCTGAAGAATGTTCTGTTCCTTCTCCAAGGCCCCCAGCGAGGGCGGCCCAGGCGCCTATAAAGCGGGTCCCCGCTTGGCCCAGGGGCCACCCACCACCATGGACCCCCGACTGCCTGCCTGGGCGCTGGTGCTGCTGGGCCCCGCCCTGGTGTTCGCGTTGGGCCCCGCGCCCACCCCAGAGATGCGTGAGAAACTGTGCGGCCACCACTTCGTGCGCGCGCTGGTGCGCGTGTGCGGGGGTCCCCGCTGGTCCGCGGAGGCCAGGAGGCCTGTGGCTGCTGGCGACGGTGAGTGGGGACAGGCGGGGGCAGCGCTCTGGGAAGCCGAGGTGCGCCCGGCGCTCACCTGCCGGCTGCGTGCGCAGATCGTGGGTCCCCACTGGAGTGTGTGCGCGAGCATGTGAAAGTCCCCAGGGGCATGAGTCCCCTGTGGGACCAGAAACAGAGTGAGGCAGGAGAGGCAGGCTCTTGCAAGTAGGTGGTGAGATCCTGTCTCAAAATTTCGGTATTTTGATCTTCATGAATTTCTGCCTTAATTTTGCTTCTTGCTTTTGTTTTTTGAGGCAGAGTCTCACTCCGATGCCCAGGATGGAGTGCAGTGGTGCGATCACGGCTCACTGCAGGCTCAAACGATCCTCCTGCCTCGTTCTCTGGAGTAGCTGGGATACAGGTGCTGCCACCACGCCCCAAACTTTTTTTTTTTTTCCTTTTTTGCAGAGAAGAAGTCTCACTGTGATGCCTGGTCTGGTCTCAAACTCCTGGGCTCAAGTGATCCTCCCACCTTGACCTTCCAAAGTGTTGGAAATAGAGACGAGTCACTGTATCCAGCCTTAAAAGTATTTAAGCCGGGCGCGGTGGCTCACGGGTGGAATCCCAGCACTTTGGAAGGCCGAGGTGGGTGGATCATGAGGTCAGGAGATCGAGACCATCCTGGCCATGGTGAAACCCGGTATCTACTAAAAATACAAAAAATTCGCCGAGCTTGGTGGTGGGCGCGTGTAGTCTCAGCTACTCGGGAGGCTGAGGCAGGGAATGGCTTGAACCTGGGAGTAGGGGTTGCAGTGAGCCAAGATTGCGCCACTGCACTCCAGCCTGGCAACAGAGCAGACTCTGACTCAAGGTAAATAAATAAATAAAAGTACTGATTTTGAAAAGTATTTTATTGTTTTATATTTATTTATTTTGAGACAGAGCCTTGCTCCATCACCAGAGCCAGAGTGCAGTGGCACGATCTCGGCTCACTGCAACCTTTGCCTCCCGAGTTCAAGTGATTCTCCTGCCTCAGCCTCCGGAGTAGCTGGGACTACAGGCACGCGCCACCACACCCAGCTAATTTTTGTATTTTGTTTGTTTGTTTGAGATGGAGTCTTGCTCTGTCACTCAGGCTGAAGTGCAATGGCATGAGATCAGCTTAGTGCAACTTCCACCTCCTGAGTTTAACCAGTTCTCCTGCCTCAACCTCCCAAGTAGCTGGGACTACAGGCACCCGCCAACATGCCCAGCTGATTTTTTTGTGTGTGTCTACTTTTAATAGAGACAAGGTTTCACCATGTTGGCCAGGCAGGTCTTGAACTCCTGACCTCAGGTGATCTGCCCACCTCGGCCTTCCAAGGTGCTGGAATTACAGGTGTGAGCCACTGTATCTGAACTGTGTATTTTTAGTAGAGATAGGGTTTCACTATGATGGCTAGGTTGATCTTGAACTCCTAAACCTAAGTGATCTGCCCACTTCAGCCTCCTAAAATGTTGGGATTGCATGTGTGAGCCACCGTGCCTGGCCTTTCTTTTTTTTTTTTTTTTTTTTTTGAGACGGAGTTTCACTCTTGTTACCCAGGCTGGAGTGCAATGGCGTGATCTTGGTTCACCGCAACCTCTGCCTCCTGGGTTCAGGCAATTCTCCTGCCTCAGCCTCCTGAGTAGCCGGGATTACAGGGACGTGCCACCACGCCCAGCTAATTTTTTGTATTTTTAGTAGAGACAGGGTTTCACCATGTTGACCAGGATGGTCTCGATCTCTTGACCTCGTGATCCACCCACCTCAGCCTCCCAAAGTGCTGGGATTACAGGCTTGAGCCACCGCGCCCGGCCGCGTGCCTGGCCTTTCTACAAGTATTTAAAATTTGGTATGAAAAGTATTGCATTAAAATACTTATCTTGCTGGATGTGGTGGCTCTTGCTTGTAATCCCTGCTATTCAGGAGGCTGAGGAGGGAGGACCACTTGAAGCCAGGAGTTTGAGACCAGCCTGGGCAATATAAGACTCAGCCTGAGACAGAGACCCCCTGTCTCAAAGAAAGAAAACATAATATTATTAATATCTATATTTTTTGAGACAGGGTCTCACTCTGTCACACAGGCTGGAGTGCAGTGGCATGATCTCAGCTCATTGCAGCCTCTATTTCCCAGGCTCAAGCAATCCTCCCACCTCAGCCTCCCGAGGAGCTGGGACTATAGGAACATGTCACCACATCTGGCTAACTTTTGTATTATTAGTAGTGATGGGGGTTTCACCATATTGCTTAGGCTGGTCTCGAACTCCTGAGCTCAGGCAATCCGCCCGCCTGACCCTCCCAAAGGCCCGGGATTACAGGTCTGGCCATCAAGTACTTTTTTTTTTTTTTTTTCCTTTCTTTATGAAGTTGAGAGCTTTCACATTTTCACTTAAAGGAAGCACTTGGTTTCTTCTCTGTAATGTCTGAGTAGCCTACTCTTGAGCTTTGAGGGCATGAAGAAGTAAAAGAAGGGTTACTTGAACAGGGGCGCTGAGATAACATTGCAGTTCATCTGGTCACCAAGACGGCTACTAAGTAACTAACAGGAATGGGCAGGGTCCGCAAACTGTGGATATGCTAGACAAAGGACAGGACTCATGTCCCCTGCATGACAGCGTGAGATTTCACAGCGCTACTCAGAATAGCACACCACTGAAAACATATGAAACCAGGCGCAGTGGCTCACACCTGTAATCCCAGCACTTTGGGAGGCCAAGGCGGGCAGATCACCTGAGGTCAGGAGTTCGAGACCAGCCTGGCCAACACAGTGAAACGCTGTCTTTATTAAAAATACAAAATTAGGCTGGGCGCGGTGGCTCAAGCCTGTAATCCCAGCACTTTGGGAGGCCGAGGCGGGTGGATCACGAGGTCAAGGGATCAAGACCATCCTGGTCAACATGGTGAAACCCCATCTCTACTAAAAATACAAAAAATCAGCTGGGCGTGGTGGCATGTGCCTGTAATCCCAGCTACTCAGGAGGCTGAGGCAGGAGAATTGCCTGAACCCAGGAGGCGGAGGTTGCGGTGAGCCGAGATCGCGCCATTGCACTCCAGCCTGGGTAACAAGAGTGAAACTCCGTCTAAAAAAAAAAAAAATTAGCCAGGTGTGGTAGTGCGTGCCTGTAATCCCAGCTACTCGGGAGGCTGAGGCACGAGAATCTCTTGAACCCGGGAGGTGGAGGCTGCAGTGAGCCGAGATCGAAATTGCTCCATAGCACTGCAAACTCCACCTCCTTTTTTGAGATTCTGTCTCAAAAAAATAAATAGGCCAGCTACAGTGGCTCACGCCTGTAATCCCAGCATTTTGGGAGGCCAAGGGGGGCGGATCACCTGATGAGACCAGCCTGACCAACAAGGAGAAATCCCGTCTCTACTAAAAATACAAAATCAGCTGGTGTGGTGGCACATGCCTGTAATCCCAGCTACTCGGGAGGCTGAGGCAGGAGAATTGCTTGAACCCAGGAGGTGGAGGTTGCAGTGAGCCGAGATCGCGCCATTGCACTCCAGCCTGGGCAACAAGAGTGAAACTCCGTCTCAAAAAAGAAAAAATACAACAGGTGTTGCATACCTGTAATCCCAGCTACTTGGGAGGCTGAGGCAGGAGAACCGCTTGAACCTGGGAGGTGGAGGTTGCAGCGAGCAGGGATTATGCCACTGCACTCCAGCCTGGGTGACAAGAGCGAAACTCTGTCTGAAAAAAGACAAAATCCCGATGGCTTTGTTCCTTATTCTACCCACCCTAGTCCTGGCCCTGGTGAAGGTATGTAAGACAACTTCGTGCAGATGTGTTAATTTGTGTCCACATGCCTCGATGAGCCACTCTGATGGAGGGGTGGGGTAGGGATCCAGAGGTGGGGGCTACCGGTGTGTCCACGTGGTGGTGTGTGTATGTCTGTGGGTCCACCATGCATGTGTGGGTGACCAAGAAGTGGACTCACAGACACACGCACACCCCTGCATGTCTCAGTGCCATGAGTCTGTGGGTGGGTCTCTGACCTGCTCTGGATGCCTCACGGACTCTCAGACCTATTGAGGAAACTGACATCATCTATGGCTCCAAGAGCCCTGATATTCCTTGGGCAGGGCTTGGGGTGCACAGGTGGCATATGGGGGTGCACGCAGCTGGGGACGTGAGTGTGGACATGAGTTGAGTGGATGAGATGATTAACCAGGTGTCTGGCATACAGCAGGTGTTTAATAAGTACTCACTTTTTTTTTTTTTGAGAAGGAGTTTCATTCTTGACGCCCAGCCTGGAGTGCAGTGGTGTGATCTCAGCTGCCTGCAACCTCCACCTCCTGGGTTTGAGCGATTCTCTTGCCTCAGCCTCCTGAGTAGCTGGGATCGCAGGTTCTCACTAGCACGCCCAGCTAATTTTTATTTTTTTCAAGATGGATTCTCGCTCTGCCTCCCCAGGCTGGAGTGCAGTGGTGCAATCCTGGCTCACTGCAACCTCCACCTCCCAGGTTCAAGCGATTCTCCTGGCTTAGCCTCCTGAGTAGCTGGGACTACAGGCGCTTGCCACCACACCTGGCTAATTTTTCGTATTTTTAGTAGAGACAGGGTTTCACCGTGTTAGCCAGGATGGCCTCGATCTCTTGACTTCATGATCCACCTGCCTCAGCCTCCCAAAGTGCTGGGATTACAGGTGTGAGCCACCTCGCCGGGCCTAATTTTTGTATTTTTTAGTAGAGGTGGGGTTTCACCATGTTGGTCAGGCTGGTCTTGAATTCCTGACCTTCAGTGATCTGCGCACTCAGCCTCCCCAAGTGCTGGGATTACAGGCGTCAGCTACCATGCCCGGCTATTGCTCACTTTTTATTTGCATGCATGATGAGTGTTCTGTGGATCAGTCAGTGGAATGTGAGTGTGTGGATTCGTGCACATGCAGCCGGGGGTGGGGTGTCCTCTGTGGTCCTGGCTCTGAGTTCCGCTCTGTCCCCAGGTGAACTGCTGCAGTGGCTGGAGAGACGACATCTCCTCTATGGACTGGTGGCCAACAGTGAGCCTGCGCTGGGAGGACCCGGCCTGCAGCCCCCACCCCAGACCTCTCACCATCTCCGTCCCCGCCGCGCAGCTACCAGCAACCCTGCACGCTACTGCTGCCTCAGTGGCTGTAGCCAACAAGACCTGCTGACCCTCTGTCCCTGATGATTCCTTCTTGGGTGCAGCCTCAGCGTGGCCTGATGCCCCGAGGGGTCTGGTCTGCTGAGCTCCTGAGACCACACAGCACCATAAAGTCCCACATCTGCAGGAACATCGTTGATTACCTCCTGGGACGAGATGCTCACTATCTACCCCAGACCAATGCCACCTGCAGCCTGTGGTGTCAACTGTAGAATAAATCACACCCTAAGCCCTGGCTTGGGGGATCCCCCGCTTTCACAGATGCTGGACACTGAGAGCCAAATGTCCTCACTCTGGAGGAGCCCGATGCCCTGCTCCCTGCCTGTGTAACACCCCTTCCTGCTGTCTCCTAGTAAATAAACAACACAAAACAGCTTTCTGCATTTTCCATAGAAAAAGGGACCAGCCTCAGTTAGTCCCATGTGGGCTTGTCCCCTAGCAGCCACAGACCCACAGGCACTTCCAGGAGCTTGATATCTAGAGACACATTGCTATGCAAAGTGGGGAAACTGAGGCCCAGGGAGACGGCTGCTTGCCAAGGTCACACAGGGTGGGAAGGATTAAGTGCTGGACTTGAGCCAAGGTCTCTACCAAGGCCCATGGGAGTCCTGAGCCCTGAGGACCTAGAACGGTAGACACTAGACACAAATGTCTGAAAATGATCGTGGCAAAACCCATTGATTGACGTTTGAGACAGGATCTCGCTCTGTTGCCCAGGCTGGTCGTGAACCCTCAGTCTCAAGTGATCCATCTGCCTTGGCCTCCCAAAGTGCTAGGATTACAGGTTTGAGCCACCCACCGGCTCATTTTATTTTGTTGTTTTGGTTTTTTTTTTTTTTTGAGACAGAGTCTCACTCTGTCACCCAGGCTGGAGTGCAGTGGGATGATCCCAGCTCACTGCAACCTTCCTTTTCCAGGTTAAAGCGATTCTCCAGCCTCCACCTTCCAGGTTCCAGCAATTCTCATGCCTCAGCCTCCCGAGTAGCTGGGATTACAGGCATGTGACACAATACCCGGCTAATTTTTGTATTTTTAGTAGAGATGGGGTTTTACCATGTTGGTCAGGCTGGTCTCAAACTCCTGACCTCAGGTGACCCACCTGCCTCTGACTCCCAAAGTGCTGGGATTACAGGCGTGAGCCACCATGCCCGGCCTCATTTTATTTTTGAAACAAGGTCTCTCTCACCTGGGCTGGAGTGCAGTGGTGTGGTCCTGGCTCACTGCACCCTCAACCTCCCAGGCTCCAGTGGTCCTCCCATTTCAGCTTTCCAAGTAGTTGGGGCCACAGGTGGGCACCACCATGCTTGACTTTTTTTTTTTTTTTTTTTTTTCTGTAGAGATAGGGTCTTGCTGTGTTGCCCAGGCTGGTCTTGAACTCCTGGGCTCAAGTGATCCTCCCACCTTGGCCTCCCAAAGCCCTGGAATCATAGGCATGAGCCATTGTGTCCGGCACTATTGCCTTGTAAATTCTGCTAAGGCTGGTGCAGTGGCTTATGCCTTAATCCCAACACTCTGGGAGGTTGAGGCAGGTGGATCCCTTGAGGCCAGGAGTTGGAGACCAGCCTGGCCAACATGGTGAAACGCTGTCTGTGCTAAAAATACAAACATTAGCTGGGCATGGTGGCACATGCTTGTAATCCCAGCAACTCAGGAGGCTGAGGCATGAGAATCACTTGAATTTAGGAGGCAGAGATTAGTGAGCTGAAATCACACCACTGTACACAGAGCGAGACTCTGTCTCAAAAATAAAATCAAGGCCAGGCGCGGTGGCTCACGCCTGTAATCCCAGCACTTTGGGAGGCTAAGGCGGGTGGATCGCCTGAGGTCTGGAGTTTGAGACCAGCCTGGTTGGCATGGTGAAACCCCAACTCTACTAAAAGTACAAAAATCAGCCGAGCATGGTGACGGGTGCCTGTAATCACAGTTACTCAGGAGGCTGAGGCAGGAGAATCGCTTGAACGCGGGAAGTGAAGGTTGCAGTGAGCCGGCCGAGATTGCGCCACCGCACTCCACCCTGAGCAACAGAGCGAGACTCCAGCTCAGTAAAATAAAGTAAAATAATAAAATATTCTGCTCAAAGCTCTGTCTGCTCTCTGGCACCTCCCATTTGATCATTTTCAGGTTCGTTTCCTCTCTACAAGGTGGGTCAGTATTGGCTGGAGGAGTACAGGGCACGGCGTGTAGCACACAGTAGGTGCATAATAAATACTTGAGGAGGGGAGGAAAGGATGAGTTAGTGAGAGCAGCAGATAAGTTCCAATCAGGGCAGGTAAGCCTGGTGAGGACAGGGAGGCTGCAGTGAGCCGAGGTCACGCCCTTGCCGAAAGCAGGAGGCTGAGGTGGGCCCAGTGACCAATCCAGCCAGGAGCCTCTCACCCCTCACCCCACTCCTGAGTCTGCCGACAAGCTGGAAGCAAGAATCCGTCTTTGGCTGGCCAGGCGCTGTGGCCTGTAATCCCAGCACTTTGGGAGGCCACGGCAGATGGATCACTTGAGGTTAGGAGTTTGAGACCAGCCTGGGCAACATGGTGAAACCCTGTCTCTGTCAAAAACACAAAAATTAGGGCCGGGCGCGGTGGCTCACGCCTGTAATCCCAGCACTTTGGGAGGCCGGGGCGGGCAGATTACGAGGTCAAGAGATCGAGACCATCCTGGTCAATATGGTGAAACCCCGTCTCTACTAAAAATACAAAAAATTAGCTGGGCATGGTGGCACACGCCTGTAATCCCAGCTACTCGGGAGGCTGAGGCAGGAGAATTGCCTGAACCCAGGAGGCGGAGGTTGCGGTGAGCCGAGATCACGCCATTGCACTCCAGCCTGGGTAACAAGAGCGAAACTCCATCTCAAAATAAAAAAGAAAACAACACACAATAATTAGCTGGGCGTGGGGGCACATACTGTACCTGTAATCCCAGATATTCGGGAGGCTGAGCAGGAGAATTACTTGAACCCAGGAAGCGGAGGTTGCCATGAGCTGAGATCACACCACTGCACTCCCGCCTGGGTGACAGAGCAAGACTCTGTCTCATAAAAAAAAAAAAAAGAAAAATCTGTCTTTGGGGATATGAGCTGAAAGCAATAGGGAGCTGTGAAGGGTGTCTGAGCAGGGGGTGGGGTGGGATGAGGTCAGAAATTCCTGCAGCCTTTGCCTCACCCACGTCCTGTTTTGTTTCTGTTTTCTTGAGACAAAATCTCACTCTGTTGCTGCCCAGATTAGAGTGCAGTGGCGCAATCATGGCTCACTGCAGCCTCCACCTCCTGGGTTCAAGTGATCCTCCTGCCTCAGTCTCCCAAGTAGCTGAGACTACAGGCATGTGAGTACCACCAAGCCCGACTAATTTTTTATTTTGTGTAGAGACAGGATACGGGACTCTCGGGCTCAAGTGATCCTCCCGCTTTGCCTCCCAATATGCTGGAATTACAGCTGTGAGCCACTGCCCCATGCCTTGTTTTTTTTGTTTTGTTTTGTTTTTTTGAGACACAGTCTCACCCTGTCACCAGACTGGAGTGCAATGGCGCGATCTCGGCTCACTGCAACCTCCGCCTCCCGGGTTCAAGCGATTCCTGCCTCAGCCTCCCAAGTAGCTGGGATTATAGGCACGTGCCACCATGCCCTCCTAATTTTTGTATTTTTAGTAGAGATAGGGTTTCACCATATTGGCCAGGTTGGTCTCGATCTCCTGACCTCGTGATCCGCCCGCCTCAGCCTCTCAAAGTGTGGGGATTACAGGCGTGAGCCACCGTGCCCGGCTGCCTGGTTTTTACCAATGTATATTTTCTACTGGAAAACGAAACTTTTAGGGATGAATGTGGACTTGTCTCCGTTAAAACTTACAAATTGCTTTTAAAGAAAAAAAGACCTCCAGGTCTTCACAAAACTTTTTATTCTCCAAGGATGCCCTATCACAATGCCTGTGAAGCATGAGTCCCAGAGACTGAGGCCTGGAGCTGGGGACTGCAGGGGGTCACTGACTCACTCAGTCTCCCCCTAATCTGTAAAACATACCGGGGTGGGGGCCGCTGGAAGACCCGAATCTCTCCCTTCTCCAGGAAGTGGGGCCTGTGCCTATTGGCCTCATGTCCATTAAAGATGCTTCCAGCCCCAATGCTGTTCTCTGAATTATTAGGGAACACAGGGATAGGGGCTGACTCCCAATGGGGGCCCCAGAAACTCTGAGCTCCCACAACCTTCAAAGGGCATCTGCCTCCCTCCTCTGCCCACGCCTCCACCATCAGAGCATTTGATACCACAAGCAAGGAGGGGCCGTCCTGTTCCACAACCTCTCTGGTCCCCTCCCACCACCTTCTGAGTAGTCTGAGGCCCAGGAAAGGGCGACGATCGCACTGTAGTTTCAGCTACTCAGGAGGCTGAGGCAGGAGAATTGCTTGAACCCAGGAGGCGGAGGTTGTGATGAGTTGAGATCGCGCTACTGCACTCTAGCTTTGGCAACAGAGCGAGACTTTGCCCCCCGTGCGCCCCTCTGCCCCCGCCCAACACACACAGATCAGAACCTCTCATCTCCTTGGCTGAAAGATATTTCTCATATCAGCTCTATGTGGACACAGGAGTATCTGGTTGGCCTGGAACTGGGTGGCGCTTATCTGCCCTTACACCACTGCAGGCGCGCTGCTTAGCATCCTGTTTGTAAGTAGGTCAGAGCGCGGAAGTAGGATCTTGATCTAAATGGAATGAATGCATCCACAGTTGGAACCCTAGCAGAGGCACTTTTACCGTGAGCTTCCACAAACAGAAGACAGATATTTTCTGGAGTTCCTTTAGCCATCCAGGGAGAATGCTGGAACAATACCAGGTGGGTTTTGAAGGATGTATAGGAGTTCACCAGCCAGAATATTTACTCATCAAACCTTCCCTGGGACTCCCCTCCGCTCAGACCACAAAGATCGTAGCTTCCTGGGAGGAAGGTGTCACCCCTTCCTATGAAAACAGGAGCCCAGAGGCTGGGGACCCTGATGCTGCCTCAGTGGGTCTGTCTCTGTTTGCCACAGGCGAGGTTGGGCTGGTTCAGTGCGTCCCACATGAGCAGCATCTCATAAGGCAGGAAGCGGTGTACCAGCAGCAGGTCACGGTAGACGCAGGGGTCAAAGGAGGACAGGCGTTGCGACGGGACGTGCACGCCAACCGTGCGGATGCCGCTGTGGGAGGTAGGCTTCAGTCCCTCGAGTTCTAGACACATACCCAGGAAGACATCATCAATGGGGAAGAGGTCTAAGGCACGGGCGGC